TAATAAAAAAAAGCACAACCCCTCCCTCCCCCCCCCACATAACATACACGTGCACCATATTGTGGTGTATGCCATGTACATGCGCTGCAGTGCGTTGTTAGAATGCATCGTAGTGCATGTTTTTTGCCCTTTTTTTTTCTTAAAAAAACCCCCCATTAAATTAACTGTGGCAGCACATGGCAAAGCTTTGTCACGCATTGCCATGCGCTGTGGTACCTTGTGTTGCAATTAAATATACGCCTGTATAATTTTATCACAACACAAACACCAACACAGCGTAAAAACAATTTTTAACATAAGTCGCTTATTTACAGTTTTGCGTACCTTAATTTTTCTTACCTTTTCGCAAATTGGCGCAATTTCAAATTTGCAAATATTTGTTATTTATTAACTCATTACAGTTTTATCTTTTAGATTTAGTCAGAAAATATATATTTTTGTGCGCCGATACTGATTTTAGTGTGCTTTATCAATTGAATTGTGTATTTTTATCGGTTTAATATTAATTTGAGAAACATTTGCACAATTATTGCAGGGCCCTCAAATTAAGTCGTACCATCTTTTTATTCTACCGGGCCTGCGCTTTCAGAAAATATATGGTTTGGGGGGTCGTTTACAAACGCTAGCAACGCAGCAGTTCAAAATCAAATCAATGGGAAAAATTGCAAAAATGGCATGGCCAGCTGATTTGCAAAATGTTCCGGAGGGCTTGGCAGCAAAAGGGTTAAGAAAAAGTATCAGTAATTGGTATCAGCGAACACCTGAGGGAAGGTACTTGTACTTGGTCTTGAAAAAGTGGTATTGGGATATCCCTAGTTTCTTAACTTCTTGAGGGTTAAAATTTATATTTGTTTCTCCTTCAAAAGAAGGAGGTTGTGTGAGAGGTTTGTTTAATATAATTTGTAAAGTAGATATGAACACTGCCTGTTCTAACAAAGAGTTAAATGATTACAACCTTGGCCTCCGCATTGTATGTTAATGAGTTCATGAGAGAAACACAATCTACAAATGTCAGTCTTTCTATAAGGACAGATCACTGTGAAGATGCTCAGAATAAAACTGGATTCAGCCATGTTGCTTGCTGCAACAAAACATCTAAAAAGGTGAAAAAAAATATTTTTAAAACATTATTTTCATTATGCCATGTAAATGGGAACACATAACAAAAATATAGTGGGGTTTTCTCAAATTTGACTACAAAAGTAGAAATATACATTAAATACATATTATTTGGAGGGTAATGCACAATTTTTGATAGCTGCAATAATGTTTTCCATAAAACCTATGCTCATTTTAGCATGATTCATCCCTTTGAAAACATTGCAAATACAAGAAAATACCTGTTGAGCATCAAGAAATCCAATGCATTCCTATCTTCTTGCTTGGGTTGACAACAAAGTCAATTTGCGGCACTGAAATCCCAACCAGCGTTGTCAGCCCTACTTGTTAGAATACAGAACTCCACCTTTCGATATCATTCTTTGTCCCCATCTTCATATATTCCTATTTTTCAATGGTAACCAACTTCCCAACAGCTGTATGTGCAAACATTTTACAAGCATGGGGATGATGTCACCTGGAGTAGCAAAAGCTGTTTCTTGTTACTGGAACAAGGTAACAGATTTAAAAAAAAAAGTGTTGTGGTAACGCACCATAAGATTTCCCTTACTTTCCGTGACATCAGGACAATAAATAAGAGGATGCAGATCACTGGAACAGGAAAGAGGGAGGAATAAAAACCTAATTTATGTTGGGATTGGGGTTTGTAGCTGGTGATACCCAATATATAATCAGCTTATAAAAACACAAGAAAATGTGTTTTACATTGACCTCCAACAATAAAACAACTAATCCTAAGGCTTTTGGTAGAGCCAAAAAGCAAGGAGCCTTCTGCAGGTTGTGCATGATGTTGTGCAATATTCACATTTGCTGTCTGTGTGGCAGTAGTTCTTAATAACCCAATTATTTTTGATGACTAAAGCCTCAGAATAGTCTCTTATGGTCTTCGAGTGAGCACAGAATAGTTACCCCGGTATAGGTTAATAGACGTGGATACGATTTTTAGGGTTCTCAGGTAGCCATCTCTGTGAACAGGATGTCACACCATACTACAGATTTTGGTTCCAACTACCTACTCTCTACAGGGAAACTGGACATTGTACAAAGAAGATAACAATGTTGATGGTTGCCTTAGGTGACAGGTCAGATAGAAAGCCCCATCACTAGGTCATACAAGCCCACTGCAAGGCATAGACGGATAGTAAAAGCCAACTTACTTGCAGTATTATTGTACATTTATAACAGCATGCAAAACCAACCTCGCTCTCTTCGCATTCTTTCAAGAACCTCATTTTTGTCTGCAAGGTCAGACTTTAGAGCAGCTTCAAGCTGAGCAATTTGAAGTTTTAACTGTTGCTCTCTTAACTTTCGTTGTTGCTCTTGACTGCTGCTCACAGTGAAGGCACTACAGAACAAAAAGCAAAACAAAACATTATTCTTTTAAGTGTTTGAATAAGGGTTCATATTCATCCAAGTTCTTTTCAAAATAGAGTCTGTTACAATGTATAATGTGGCTCCGCCTGAATCTTCAGACATAGTTACTTACTTCTATGTCTTGTCATTCACATTTAGTTAAATAAAAGTAAGTTGTGGTAAGAGTGAGGAAGGAGTCATTAGACATTCAATTAGTATTAGCTTAAATGTTAAGGTTAGGGAGAGGTTGTAGTTAAGATTAGATTTAGTTTGATGGCCGGTTCACACCAAAATTCTTTTAGTAATGCATGCAATAGAAAAATTACAGCACATATGTGATTGACTGGAGAAGGCTCAAAACTCCTGACACAATTTTTATTGATTGCTGCCTGTGCCTTCCTGTCCCACTGATAACCCCACCCCCATTTCCTTTTTAAGTGCAGCAGGGAAATTAAAGAACCCACCCCCCATTGCGTAAGAGACAGAAATAAAAACCTGGCAGAAATTTTAACTCTTCCTCCTCCTCTTCTTCCTCCTGTATGTGTGTGTGTGGTTAGCTTACAATAGGTTAGAGGGGTGGCTTTTGGAGTCCTCCCGCTCTTCTGGGGTACCCGGAAACACAGCAAATGGCTGCGGGAGGGAGAGCAAGGAGCAGACCAGAAAATGTCCATTCTCTGATCTGCTCTGTGTAACCAGTGAGACAAGGAATCTGTGCTCACAGCCTTCCTGTCTCATCTGTCACACACATGACTATACAGAAGATAGAGCACAATGCTCTGCTCAATTTTCTGTATTGGAGGGCAAGCTACATAAGGAGTACCTGATACCTCCAAATGTTATCACATTGCTAGCCCTGTGTAATAGCAATGAAGTTAAGAGAAAAAAAAAAGGGGGGGGGGGGAGTAAAAAAAAAATAACAAAATAAATATATATTTTTTTAAAGTGATAAAGTATAATAAAGTCAAAAAAGTAAAAAAAATAATAAAATAAATAAAAATTAAACAAAATGATTTAGATCAACTCCGCTGCCCCGCCATCTGCATGTGAATAAACGCACACGTAGCACATTGTGTGTGTGTGTGTGTGTGCGCTAGTTGGCCCCGTTCCACTGTGTGCCATATTGTGGTTGCCGGACAGCTGCACTCTCTAACATGCACAGTGTGCATTGAAGGGTAAGTTCACTTTCCCAAGTAATTTGGGAAAATGGAATTACCTGTTCAAATCTGGCCCCCTCTTCGCCTTGCTATTCTTACCTTTTGGTGAATGGTCCTTCCCCTGAGCCAGTACAGGTGTACTATCTGTACCCCATACTGCCATCCGATGCAGCCTTGTGCTATGGATTTTGAATTTTGCTTGCAAATTGCGAGGATTAGTTGGTCAGTGCTGATCAGTTGACGGCGCTGGTCCAGCGAGAAGCGCTTCTCAGCACAGTAAAAAAAGGTTTTCATTAAAATAATTTCTTATATTATGACACGTAGATTGTCATAATATAATGTCTTGCTTTAGTCTTTGGGCAAGTGTTTTTTTACAAAAATATCCATGCCCCTAGGCTGGTGTTAGCTAAATAAACTTTATACAAATAATGAGTAAAGTTAACTCTTTTTTACATGGATTAAAGGCACATGGCTAAGTTTGGCCTTTGTGTTACAAATCTTACATTTAACTTAAAGTGACATTAAACCCTCAGATTTTTTAACATAAACCAATACTGTAATGTGTGCCTTACTGTAATGCATGGTTGTTTCCCTTCTCTTTGCTGCTCTTCCTTTTAAATCCTCATGTCTTCTCATGCTTGGGGAGAACTTCCCTTTTCAGCTCAGGGCTTCTTCCTGTAGTGCTGGCTCAGGTTTCAAGCCTATACAAATCTATACACAGACACTATATATCCATTCCTGAGACAAGGCAGTCTACTGCAAAACAGAAGTTCTGCAGAGCATGAGAACAGATACAGATTTAAAAGGAAGAGCAGCAAAGAGAAGGGAAACAACCATGGATTACAGTAAGGCACACATTACACTATTGTTTTATGTTAAAAAATCTGAGGGTTTAATGTCACTTTAAATTTAAGAAACATTACCGTTAGAAAGAACTTAGTTTCTTTACCTTATATTTCTAAACAAGATTTTAGTCGTGATTAGGTGTTAAACAGCAACTTGAATGACTTATCCTGCATGTTACACATAATTTGTCTCCTATGGCAACCATCTTGTAAAAGTTGCATACTTATAAGTTTTTAAAAAGAAACAATAATCTTGCAAACAATGGCTGATGTGTGAGTTTGGACGTTAGATGGTAGTGACACACAGATCACTTGTCCTAATGTTTCAGGAATTAGGCAAACATATTCTGTTCTGCTGCTTCCTAAAACCAAAGGCGCCTTGCACAGCCTGTGGTTAGACAAGATGAAAGACATTGTGGGATGATCATGGGAATGGCCTTAATTTAGATTCCCAACTATGTGGAGTTGAAAAAAAAAAGTTGGCAAACGTTGCACACTTTGTGGGGCTGCAGTAGGAAATAGTATGCATAATACATAGGAATCATAATTCCAGTCACTAACATAACCACAGACCAGTAAACTGTGCACCAGGATCTTCAATTGCCACCCAGCATCAACCAGAAACCAGTGCTGGGCCAAAGGGTACTCAAATTTGTGTTTATAATTCTTAGTAAAAGTTGAAGAACTAGCAAAATGGTTTAAAGGGGACATCAGTTGTAACCAGAATTTCCCCATCTATTTCACACATCTCCATGTAATAAGATGTCAAGATGTAGTAAGATGTAATAAGATGTCCAACATCCCTTTATCACTACATTTTTTATTTAAAATGCACACAACATACTATTGCTTTTGAAAGGTTGTTCCATAATAAAGGAATTCCCTGACAAATAGTGGAGCAGACAAAATCTAAAATTTCCGCTCCGTCACGATATTGCTAGCTTCTGTAGTTTCCGAATAACAGGTTTGTTCGTAGCAAAAAGTCCCATCAGCTCCTAGTTTGAGACCCAATTAAAATACAAGCAAAATAATGGAGTCCAAGCTATGCCCTTTGAATCCTCCATCGGGAATAAACAATATTAAACATACTTACAAACCAAATAGCAAATTACAATATGCTGTGAATGGCAGCAGGCATGATATCAAAGAGCAGTGGAACCTACAATATTACCTGATGTCAATATAAATAGTGAAACCAGAGGCCAGCCCAGCTTATTTCATCATCTCATCACCATCATCAATCTTTAAGGGGTTCTAAACCCTCCGGTTTTTTTTGCTTATATCTACTGCTAGCATGCAGTAGATATAGGCAAGAAGTGTAAAAAAAAACAAAAAACCGCTTAAAATCATTTTAAACTTACCTCGTTATCGCTGCTCACTCCCGCGCCGAGAATCAGGAACTGCTCGTACGGACGCAAAGGATCTTGGGGCGGGCGCATGCGCAGTTCCGATTCTCGGCCGGGAGACGAGCAGAGACGCAAGGTAAGTCTATGGACGCGTGCACCCGCCTGCAGACACCGCTGGATCGGAGAGACAGAGCAGTCAGCACTGGATCGGAGTGACAACACACCACTGGAGGGACACATGAAAACATGGGGAAAGAAGAGGAAGATCGGAAAAAGAGACATCATTTAAGGTAAATGCTAACATTTACATGGGGGGAGGGAATTTTTTTTTGCCTTTAGTATCACTTTAATAGTGGTGGATACAAGATTATAAGAGGCTTACAGTATAATGGGTAGCTGCCTGAATGAATGATACTTGATTTAAAACAGCTGTATGAATAATCTATAAATGGAATTCACTATTTTATCCATAAGCTCTATTAGCATAGTCAATCCACTTAATTT